AATTTATACATGCATATAAGGTATTTTGATCAAATCCATGCCCACTCCCCCTCTTCCAACTCCTCCCATATCTCCCCATCACTTTTTCTTGATCACTTCATTTATTTATTTATTTTTATGGGGCTTTTGGCTACTCTAACATTCCCCCTCTCTGAAGAGGTAGCCCTAAAATCTTTAAAGGATTAGATACAGGCTCCCAAATATTTTTGACATTTTTGGCCTTTGGAACGGAGTATGTTGCTAAGAGGCCCAAGGACGTTGTGAATTTTAGCCAAGAAACTGGCTACTTTTCTTTGGGGTCTTTTTACCCTAATTGCCTAGCCAATTCCTACCTCCTATTCTTATCACACCATCCTCTGAAGAGTTACCTAAATTGCCAATAGGGAATCGGAACGCAGACTGCTCTGGCTTCTTCCATGCTGAACCAGGATGCAGGGTGAGGCAATTGGAGTACCCCTTTGGTGGGTTTATCTAAAAGACTCCCAAATTGCATAACTCTTATCTCTAAGGGGAAAAGAAAGTCCTCGAATAGTGAATAGGAGCTGTGAAGGAGAAGTAAAGGCAAGAATAATTAGCATTACAAGTTCTAGACAGAGAACTAGAGAAAAGTCAGAACAGGAAAATTTTCAAATGGTCATATGAGAGTCCATTGGAATTTCTTGACAAGGGCTTCCAAAAGCATCCGTCTATTGGGTTCCTCCTCATTTTTCTTTTGTCTTCCAAGGCTGGACTCTAGAGTGATGGATTCAGGATTTGCTTTCAGGTATTTTGATAGCTGTTGGAGTGGTTAGAATCGGTGTCAGTTCACTTTCAAATGCTTATAGGTAGGGGGAGAAAACAAATTTATCCATCATTTTAGAACAATAGCAGGTTGTCTCCCTTACCTGCAGGTGGGCACTACAGTATTGGAGACCAAGATTTGAAGTCTTACATCTGAGCAGTACTTTCTGGTTAGGAACAAAATCATCAATGAGAAATAATTGTCTCAATAACTTTTTATATAGACTTAAGCCTAATGTCTGGAAAGTGTAATCCTTTGAACTCTTAAAGAAATATACTGATGATTTTACTCTTGGTTATAATTTTCTTTTGGGTGTTTAAGACCATACAGTTGGCCCAAATAAATCAATTTA